TACCAGATCACAGATTAAAAAGACACTTGGTTTATTTATAAAACGTGGTTTATTTATAAAACGTGGTTTATTTATAAAACGTGGTTTATTTATAAAACGTGGTTTATTTATAAAACGTGGTTTATTTATAAAACGTGGTTTATTTATAAAACGTGGTTTATTTATAAAACTTAGTTATTTATAAATTTGTCAGTCATATTCATCTGCATAAATGTAACTCAATATATCTTGCTACCAGATCACCGATTAAAAGACACTTGGTTTATTTATAAAACGTGGTTTATTTATAAAACGTGGTTTATTTATAAAACGTGGTTTATTTATAAAACGTGGTTTATTTATAAAAACGTGGTTTATTTATAAAACTTGGTTATTTATAAATCGGTGACGCGATGAAAATCTGTCGCTTCGTTTTGATTTTTATTTCTGTTTCTATCGTTGTATGCCTTAGACACGATAATAAATAGGCTATTAGCTAAGTTAAACATGCGTGTATGGCTAAATGTAGACCCAGGCAAATGTTGTAGTGACGGTTCTATCAGGAATAAATAGATCATCGATTATTTACTGTCGATTTTTAAGGTGCAAATGAACATCTATGTTTGTTGTATTTATAGTGTGTAGAATATTTACTGGCATTTTGTTAGTATTCAGCTACCTTTGGGTGGTAGCATCAGGGTCTCAATCAGTGGCGTAGCGAGGTCGGGTGTCACCCGGTGCGGCACTTAATGGTGTCACCCTCCCAGAGGCGTAGCGACCCTTCCCAGCGCCCGAGGATAAACTTTAACTTTTAATTTGGCGCGCTTTCTGGATCAACCTTTCAATTTTCGATTTGCACCCCCCCCCCCCTTCAAACTTTCGATTTGCGACCCCCCCCCCTTTCACCCTTGTCGTGATTTGTCAAATTTGCTCTTAAAAGACTATTTAACAATCGAATTAATCATTTAATTAAATGAAATTATCATTTTTTTCTATATATTTTGCTATTTTTTGCCCTAAATTGTGTCACCCGGTGCGGTCCGCACCCCACTCCCTTCTCGCTACGCGAGACTAAGACAATCTAGAGTATTAGAAATTGACAGAGGGTTGCTTTGACTAAGATAATCTAGTGTATTAGACCTTGAAAGAGTTTTGTTTTGACTAAGACAATCTAGAGTATTAGACCTCGAAAGTGTGCTGTTTTGACTAAGACAATCTAGAGTATTAAACCTTGAAAGAGTGATGAAAGAGTCCACGATAATCTAGAGTATTAGACCTCGAAGTAGTTTTTGTCTTAACCACAACAATCTAGAGCATTAGAACTCGTAAGAGGGTTGTCTTGATCACGAAAGAGGGGTAATATTGTTGTCTTAATCAAGACAATCTAGATAATTGGACCTCGAGAGGTTGGTAACATCATGAAATGAAACTCAACAATCTTGAGAATTGCACAACGAAAAAGTGTTTTCTTAACTACGAAAATCTAGATACTTGGACCTCGAAATAGTGGTACCATAAGCGTCTGAATAACGACAATCTAGACAATTGGACAGCAAGATGGCGACAACACGGTGTCTTAATCACGACAATCTAGATTATATGACCACGGAAGGGTGGTAACATCATTGTCACGATAATCTTCAGTATAGCGCCCATAGGGACTAGCGTTAAAGCGGTCAAAATACGACCATTTATCGTATTAGACGTGAAATGAAACATTGACGGGGTCTAATTTACGAGAGTCTATCGTGCTGCAACATAGATGGGTGGGGGATGGGTAGCTAATAGCAAGATAAAAATAAAGAATATAGGTACTATATCTAACGGAACCACACTATAAAGTATGTACATCCTAAACGTATAATTCATGATGAAATTATCTTTATATATAATTCTCTTCTGGGAGACGCTAGAAAACAAGCTGTAAGCGCGCTCCCTACCTCCTCACCCCTACATGGTCTGGTGAGCTGTGGTTCACGCTAAATGTTTACATTTGTAGAGCCGGCTATTAGGGGCAGATAATTTAGTTTAAAACGAGTTTAAACTATGGGGAGGTAACTAAGAGGAAGCTGCTTTCACGGGGGGGGGGTGTAGGGTAGGGGTTGGGGGAAAGGAGGGTGGGGGTAGTATCGTCTTTAACGACCTACTGATAGTGTATTAAAGCAAATATTTTCAGTGGCAGCATTGGTACTGTCGAATTCTCAAATAATGAATTACTGAAAAGTAGAAAATAAAACAACTAAATAGCGGCGTATGATATGCCGCGGGTCGGCTCGTTTTTATTAAACTAGCACGTGATTTAACTTCTTCAGAGCCATCATCATGCCCAGTACCTCCCCGCTGACTCTTCAGATACGTGCTATCAGCTACAAGACAAGGAGGCAACTCATACGTTCTTATTATATGAACATTATCGAAATATGTAAGTATAGGGAGATCCATGCATAGCCGACCACAGTCATACTTAAATCTCAAATCATTTTAGAGTAAAATTGTGTATTTTACTTGTATACACGTTTACAATACAAACATTAATACATTTAAATTGCATGAATTAACCGTAAGTTGTAATATGTTAATCAAATAATCCTTAATTTAAAAATCTGACAACAAGATAGAGTCTGATGAACAATGTTTTAATTGATAATAAAAAAAATATGTTACACTTTTTAATATCTTTTATGAAAGTTTAGTTTTTAAATATTTTAAACGAATCCAAGGTGTCTTAGTAGAACTAACCTACTATAAACTTCTTTGAGATAATTCTACAGCTTTTCTGCCGAAATTATGAACTTAAACTTAATAATTGACCGATTTGCTTGCATTTTATGTTGTTTTGCCGTAGCTTAATTTCATGTATAACAATGGTTATGTCGTTTCTTCTACTGTTTGGGTTAAGTCAATTATATAATAGCCTGGTTACGTCGTTTTGTCTACTGTTTTGGTTATTTTAAGTCAATTTTAAAATTGACTAGTTGAGTCGTTCTGTCTATTCTTTTGGTTAAGCGTATTCTATTATCGACACATTAAGTTGCATGATTCCTGTTTCTACAGTTTTTCCTTACTGTATATTTTTGATGTTGGCTAACGTCATTAAACAACCCGTCAAATCTAACACGCATGAAACCGTTAGTGAAGACGTCTTAAGTGGGAGCAGGATCTGGCATCCTATTGTGTACTTCCCGAACGATTCCGTTATAGCGACCATGTTGAAGTTAGGGGCAGATCCTGAAAAACGTTAAGTATAAGTACAGAAAGTGTGTGGCTATGTGTTTGTGCTTGTTCGTCTAAGCTTTCTTTTGTTAGTATGAGACATGTATGAGCTTTTTGATTATTAAAGGCAATGATAGGCTAGGAACATATGTGCAATTAGCTTGAAACGTGTATACAAATGAACGTTTATGGCCTTTTAAGAATATATATGTATGGTTGATTATGTATTATGCTACAATTGTAAGTTTTCAAAATATTTTAAAATTTCTGCGTTTGGTTGCTAATTAGATTCAAAATACTTAAGTATCCCTGACGTCAACTTAGCTCTTAAAGATAACTGGCTCACTTGAGCAAATTTAAAGGCGGACTGGACATTAGTGCTGACCACACTGTCCCGTCATATTATGCCGAGTTCCCAGAAAAAAAGGTGGACTGTTCTTATAAGTGCCACCCAGACGAAAACGAAAACGAAACTAAACACTTATTAGGCGTTCAACGTATTCTTGTTTGACATGCCGAGTTTCAATATTTATCCTTTCCTAATGCATCATCCCATAAATTTTATACTTTTAACGAGGTCTTTTATTTTATATATATATATATATATATATATATATATATATATATATATATATATATATATATATATATATATATATATATATATATATATATATATGTAGATAGATAGAGAGGGAGATAGAGATAGAGAGAGCGAGAGAGAGCGAGAAATTCTCAAACGTATCTGATGTGTATATTTGGTTTCGATCTATTATTAACTCAGCACCTAGTAATTAATGACCTCAACAGTTCCTAATTAACTGAGACGCCGTGTCTGTTGTGTCCAGATCCAACGCTGCTACCGTTTGCCACGCTGGAGGAGGCCACGGACTTCTTGCACCAGGTGCCGCTCTATCGTCACTTGGTCCATTTCCAGAACTACACTTTTGCTGACGACATACAACACCTCAACTACACCGTCGTGCTAGATCTGGAGCAACCAAAGGGTGATCTGTTCTCTAATAGCTACAGTAAGTCGTTTAATCAAAGGATATGTTTGTCCTAAACATAACTGCCGACAAGAGTAAATGCCGACTGAAAGCAAAGACAGTCATAAATAAAGCGACGTGGAATGAATTAAAAAGTATTTAAAATGTGTTGATATTTAAATAATTAAATATGAAAATCACCATATATGTATATACATACAGACAATTATATAACTACGTATATACGTACAATCACACCCACCCACATATATATATATATATATATATATGTATATATATATATATATATATATATATATATGTATATATATATATATATATATATATATATATATATATATATGTATATATATATGTATATATATATATATATATATATATATATATATATATATATATATATATATATATATATATATATATATATATATATATAGAGAGAGAGAGAGAGAGAGAGAGAGAGAGAGAGAGAGAGAGAGAGAGAAGAGAGAGAGAGAAAGAGAGAGAGAGAAAGAGAGAAAGATGGGTTTCCTTAAACGCCTTTATTTTCATTTTGCCATTTTTTCTATCCCCAATTGTTTTTCTTTCACAGAATACCTTAGCCTATACAAATCCTACTAAAATCTTTATCTACAATAAATCTTACAACATATTTCCCCCAATATACAATACATATTTTCAAAAATTGATACTGTGTGCGACTATAGTCAGAACACAAACGTTTCCGCAGAAGACGCCGTAGACTACCTGACGACCGTTCAGCTCGCTGTAGCACAGATGTACATCCGTTTCTTGAACCGGAGAATGGGGCTGGACTTTCAGTCAGACATCAGGATCCTGACGCTTGACCTCCTGCCCAAGACTACTGAGTACCACGGGGGTGACCTTTTAGCACTACGTCTGTTGCTTCCCTTTCTTTTTATGTGGCTGGCTGTCTTCACGTCAAAATGGATGGTTGATGACGGCTTGTTGAAGTATAAGGTAATGTGCGGTCTGTTAAGTACAATATTAAAGTATAGAGTTAAGTATTTGCGGGGATTATGACCGGGTCATCCTTATCATCATGATTATCAACAACATCAAAATCATCATCATCATTATCATCATTATTATCATCATCATCATTATTGTCATCATCATCAACATCATCATCATTCTTCTTGACCACTTATTGGGCATAGGGATGCAACCACGCCTCTCCAACATAGTGTTTTTGGTGATCCCCCAAGCTGGTCCCAAGATATTCCGGCAGCTTTTCCTTCACTGACATTTGATCTTTATTTCAATTGGCCTTCCTAATTCCCTCTGTCTGGTGATGTTGCTAATTGGTTTATACACCATGTGCCCAATCCATTTTCATTTGCTTTATTGTATTTTTTGCCCAGTGTGCTCTTGTCGTGTTTTTCTCCTGATACGATTCCGATTTCAGCCTGCTTTCTTTTGTATTTGCTTCAATAGCCTTTCCCTATTCAAGAACAAACAAAAATGCAGCAGTTACTAGATTTTTAGTTGTATCTCCTAGATGGCTTACTATGGACCCTTATCTGCCGGGAGTTCGAACTCGAGACTTTTAGGTTTAGCAACCATAAGCTTTACATCCCCGACCTCGCTGACACCAACTCTGTGACCACAATTTACTCATCCTCCAACTTTCCGACCAATTTTCACTCACCATCTAGTACTCCATGACCCTGATTGGCCTGAGCAGTACCGTCTACGTCATGAACTGGCTGATCGTCCGGTGCTTCATGGGGACGTTCCCGACCTGCATTGCGGCCTTCCAACTGACCCATAATAGAGCCAACGGCCCTATTTTCGACTACGACCCCATTTTGATCTTTATTTGGCTGATGATTACCAACGTAAACACGGTGTCTTTAGGTTTTGCCATGTCCGTCGTATTTCAAAGAGGTACGAGCACCGTGTAGTGAATGGGAATGAATGGTGTTGAATGTTGATTATACTGTGAATTCTGTCCGTTCGTACTTGTTCAATCCTCGTGTGTGAGTTGTAACAGTCCGGTTTATATATGTATTCTGTAAGGGTATATAAGGTGTGTGAAAACGTGTGTGATTGCCTCAGTTTTTTCAAGATCTTACCCAAGGTTAGTTTAGGTTAGTTCTGTACTGTTAGATAGTCACTGTATTTTAGTTTGTGTACTAGCGTATTCAATTATATTTAGAATAGTCTTTGTAGTATAGCTAGTGTATCTAGTATTAAACTCATTTAGTGTTAACCAGCTGCTGTTTCATTTAGCCGTGTTTTGTAATCCTTTTGCGGTTGTTTCATATTACAGTTCGTCTAATATGTTGCGTGACATATTGGATCACTCGTATAGGCGTGTCGGTGTTCAGAACACAGAGACACACATTCGTGATAGTTTAAGACGAACTGACAGAAATGCACATCATATTTTCCCGAAACTGTCAAAAACACATGAAGCAGATGAAGTAGAGTTCATTTGTTACAACGATCTTGATATATCTTTTGGATAATGTTTTCCAGCTGCCTTGTGTCCCTAATTTGAGTCAGTAACCATTACAACTCGCTAGACTAAGGACTCGAAATCGGGATCCGAACTTGAGATGGTCATTCTGGCATTAGAAAGACCTCTTCCATTTAACCACAAGAGTTGCATACCCCGTGCTTCGCCAAGGTGTGAAGGTCTACAATTTACTTTATGGGGGATAGAAAATAATGCCGTTAAACATAAAACAACTGCTCTATGAACATTCTTGTAAAATAAATTTTATATAACAAAATAAAATGTTCCAAAGAATTAAGGGGAGAGGTAAACAGAAGGAAATAAATTAAAATAAAAAACACACCCCAAATCGCACGACCCTTTGAACCACAAACCAAACCTCACACCACCCTTCCCACACCGCACACCACTACTCACCTCTCTTTAACTACACGAGCCAACTCACTACATCCCCATCCTAACCCAATCACTCATCCCACACTAAACCACACACAAACATAACACACAGAGTAGATCAGAACATCAACCACCTCGCTGCACGCCTTAATGCACACCACCTCACACATCACGACACTATGTGCGACACCCTGAAGCAGACCCCACAACATATTGGTCCACTCTTCACCACACGCTTCAAACGCCATACAATAACTAAATTACAATACCACTGACAACACGCCTCAAAAAATTAACCGGGAGTGATCTCCCCTAAACTTTCTCGAATATTCTGATATAAAAAAAAACAGGGGATGGGAACTCGGGATATAGACATGATTTTTAATCCATTTTAAATACTTAAACTTTTTAAAAATAGAATAAAATCTCGTAGAAAAAAAGAATTGCACACCAGTGAACGCCAAATAAAATGTGCATAATAGTGAGGAATATTATTATAAATTTACATTAGTTTTTGACAAATCGGAAATAGCGTAAATTAGTACTTCCGGTCAACGGAAATTACTCATTATTTTTGACAGAAGGTAGAGAATTAGATCTTTTACTCATATAAGAAATTTCATTTATCTATCTGAATAAGTATATAGTTATATAGTTATAGGCTTTTGAAAAATTCAAAGTAAAAAAGTACCACTTTCGGTTATCGGAAATCGCTGAAAAGTTGATACGGATCTACGATTTTGATAAAATACTTATATATGAAATTTCATCAACCTAGCTGTAACGGTACTCAAGTTATCGTGTTTACACACACACAGACACACAGACACACAGACATACGGACAAGATTGCAAAATTATTTTTTTCCGTATCAGTGAGGTGTAAAACGAATCTACGATTTTGATAAAATACTTATATATGAAATTTCATCAATCTAGCTGTAACGGTACTCAAGTTATCGTGTTTACACACACACCGACACAAGGACATAATAGGATTATACAGTTTTTCCAACTCCATTAAGCATTAAAACGCCAAAATTTTGATAAATCTGATTTTATAATTAAAATAAGTCCTCTATATCCTGGATGTAATGAAGGACTGAGGAGTAAAAAGATGAAAAATATCAAAATTCATGTGATTTTATGCACGATTACAATAATTTGTCTATACTCTGTATACGAGAAAGTAATAAACCGGGAATGATCTCCCCTAAACTTTCTCGGATATTCTTATATAAAACAACAGGGGATGGAAACTTCATTTTAAATACTTAAAGTTTTTAAAATAGAATAAAATCTCGTAGAAAAAACGTGGGTCGGGCAGATTTATGATTAAAGTGAAAAGCACACAATACACGAATTTTGGAAATTTGATGGTGAACGTACCCACGTTTTTGTGATTAAATGTATGAACAGTCATCACAAGAACCTGCACAGCTCGAGGAAGCACAAAATCTAGGAGCAGTCATTGGTAGATCCCCTAGGGTCGGAAGAAAAATTTATTTTCTACTTTTTAGTCCACAAAAAAAAAGTTTTTTTTAATTTTTTTTTTAATTTCTACCATGGTTTCCTACAACTATGGTTGTGTTTACCTACCTAACGATGTGTTTTGTTTTTTTAAATTTCTAGCATGGTTTCCTACAACGATGGCCGTGCTGACCTACCTAACGATGTGTTGTTTTAAATTTCTAGCATGGTTTCCCACAACGATGGCTGTGTTTACCTACCTAACGATGTGTTTTGTTTTTTAAATTTCTAGCATGGTTTCCTACAACTATGGCCGTGCTGACCTACCTGACGATGTGTTTTGTAGCAACCTTTATCAACCTAGTCAGGTCCCCACTACTGTCAAACTTGTTCGGTGTTTTTATCTACTACACCGGTGTGGGGGTCTGTCTGGAGGCAATGATTGAGAAGAAATACGGCCGTGAGGGTAGGTTGTGTAGGTTGTGGTTAGGTGGTTCGTGCAGTGAGGGTAGGTTGTGTAGGTTATGGTTAGGAGGCTAGTTCTGTGAGGGTAGGTTTTCTAGGTTGTGGATAGGATGTTGATGTATTGAGGGGAGGTTGTGTAGGTTGTGGTTAGGGGAATGTAGTATGGAGGATGTGTTGTGGGTGATGGTGCTATCAATTGAGTTTGTGTAGGTTTTGGTTAGGGAACTGGTGTTGTGAGGGTGTGTTGAGTAGGTTTTGGTTAGGGAACTGGTGTTGTGAGGGTGTGTTGAGTAGGTTTTGGTTAGGGAACTGGTGTTGTGAGGGTGTGTTGAGTAGGTTTTGGTTAGGGAACTAGTGTTGTGAGGGTGTGTTGAGTAGGTTTTGGTTAGGGAACTGGTGTTGTGAGGGTGTGTTGAGTTGGTTTCGGTTAAGAGGTTCGTGCTGTGAGGGATGGTTGTGTAGGTTTTGGTTAGGGGAATGGTGTAGTGAGTGTAGGTTGAGTAGGTTTCGGTTTGGGTGATGGTGCAGTGGATGTATTGTAGGTTTGGGCTAGGCAGATGGTGGAGTGCGGAGGTTTTGTAGATGTTTAAGTTAGCATTAGTGTGCAATGAGTAACGGTTTTGGATGCAGTAACCGAGACGGTATGTTTTGTAAGTTAGGAGGATGCTGTAGTGAGGATTTGTTGATTAGGTTTTAGTTAGGAGGTTAGTGCATTAACGGTTGGTTGTATGTCTTTTTATTAGCAGAAATATGCACTTAGGATAGGTTGTGTAGGTTTTGGTTAATTTATATGTATTGCAGGTACGCTGCTTAGCTTTGGGTTAGTTCAGGTTTAGTTTTAGGTTAGCTGATGAGTTAACGTGAGTCCTCTACTTAGGTTTAGGTTTAACGGATGATGAGTTGAGTGTGCTACTGTTTAGATTTTAGTTAACAGGGCCATAAGTAAGTGCAATATAATTATATTTAAACTAGACAGTAGATATTTAACACAGATTATATCTAAAGTTCATTTAGTATTGATCAACTGAAATAAGAAATGTGTTTACTCCTTCGCTCAGAGGAGACTACTCAGAAAATTCCCGACAACCCAGACGATTTCATATACCACTTCTCGTTCCTGCACGGGATAACAATGATGATCCTGAACACAATCTTCAACGCCCTCTTAACGGGCTACCTAGTGGTCATCTTACCCGAGGATCAAGGCAAGCAGAAGTCTATATTTCACCTGTTCCAGGTACGAAGAAAAGAGTTCGATTTCTAGTTGAGCTAAACAAAACCCCAAGCTCTATCATTAGCGTATCAGGAGCATCAACAGTAAACGGTTTATGTGTGTGTGTCACATACATACATTTATGGGGGTAATGGTTTTGCGAGAACTCTCTTCGTACAACTTGTGCTATTAAACATTTGTGTTTGCTTTTCTGAAAATTGAAATAAGTCCGACGATTTGGTAGAATCAAGCGGCATTCCAGAGTGATTAAAATTTATTTTACTCTATTTAAAGATAATAGATAAATAGCTATATATGCTTTAAAGTACGCGAAATAATAGATTTACGCTTATTATGTAATAAACAGTATCTAATACGTGGTAGGTAAAGACTACTTTTCAAAACAAGTTAATAAAAAGTCTAGTGACAATTTAAGCGCAATATCCTTAATTAATTTTTTGTGACCGAACGAAAGGATATTTTTGAAAACTTTCTTCGGCAATATTGTTCTAAATTATGACAGGAATCGAATGGTAAAAGTTTCAAGTCGCTAAGTGGTCTAGTTGCCGAGATATGGGCCAAACACTGCATTTTTGGAGGTTTTTTGGCTTTTCCGGGAAATCCAGGAAGGAATTCCGGGAATTTTTTTAGGCCCACATTCATCCTCGGAACTTGCTTAACATATTTGCTTTTGGAACTAGTCCTCGATATTGCTTCTTTGAGGAGGAGATACGACTTAAAGCTGCGGACACACATCGATCCATCCATCCAGAAATAACGAATTAATAATCACAATTGTCAGTATTGAAATTGCGCTAAAAATACACTACGTTTTGTAAAACATTTCAGCTCTGGAATAAATCGATTTTAACTGCTGCTGCGATACCCATACGTACGGGTTTTTGTGGGATTTCTTTTCCGATCTTGTTTAAAACCCAAAATGCATCTACCTACATATCTACCTACCTGACCTTTAAGTTCTGATTTAAGCTAAACACCCCATACCTACCCACCTAGCATACATTTTGTTATAGCCTAAGTTCTGACTTAAGTTCAGCCCCCCGCCCCCTCCCCCTACCTACAAGGCCACCTTACATCATGTTCTGGTTCAAGTTCTGGTTGAAGCAAAAGTCATTCTCCCCCCCCCCCTCCCTATCCTTACTACCCCCTTAGCACCCGTTTTGTTTTAATTCAAGTTCTGGTTGAAGCTAAAGTCAACCTCCCCCCCCCCCCTATCCTTACTACCCCCTAGCACCCATTTTGTTTTAATTCAAGTTCTGGTTGAAGCAAAAGCCAACCTCCCCCCCCCTATCCTTACTACCCCCTTAGCACCCGTTTTGTTTTAATTCAAGTTCTGGTTTAAGCAAAAATCAACCCCCCCCCTATCCTTACTACCCCCCTAACACCCATTGTGTTTTAATTCAAGTTCTGGTTGAAGCAAAAGCCAACCTCCCCCCCCCCTCCCTATCCTTACTACCCCCTAGCACCCATTTTGTTTTAATTCAAGTTCTGGTTGAAGCAAAAGCCAACCTCCCCCCCCCCCCCTATCCTTACTACCCCCCCTAACACCCATTGTGTTTTAATTCAAGTTCTGGTTGAAGCAAAAGTCAACCTCCCCCCCCCCCTATCCTTACTACCCACCTAACACTCATTTTGTTGGGATTCAAGTTCTGGTTCAAGCGAAAGACCCCCGTACTCCCAGAACCCCATACCCAACACCCAAAGTGTATTCAGAAATCGACGCCAACCGAGACGGAGCTAATCAATGTCCGAAACTTAATGAAGGTAAGCTTATTCTTCTAGTGTCCTCGGAAATCGTACATGTTCTATTAGTTGTGAAAGTGTTATTCTTGTGTGTTCTTAAACAGGTCGAATATATTCTAGTTTTACCTCGTCTCTAAGTTATGTTTTACAAAAAAAAAAAAAAAAAAAAAAAAAAATTGAATGTTTGACTACACAAATTAGTGCGTATAAATGCTGGTGCGAAGCGATAATATTGAACGAGTGAAAGTGTGACGCGGTACGCAAGAAAGTGACGTTTTAGTGTGAGTTCGTTGTTGCCGGGGAAGAAGTTCGGATTAGTCTTGTTCGTGTTATGTTAGGTTTAGGTTGTCCAGTCTTAGTATCGTTTGTTCAAGTCGTCCGATGTCTATTTCTTATAGTGCAATAAATAGAACTAGTACACAATGTCATTCTGTTAAATCATTGCGTTGATGTCGTCGTGTCTCAAGATGCATTATTGCATGGCTAGACATGATGAAATGGCAGTGGTATCGGAATATAATATTGGATCAAGTAGTTCTACCCTCTCACTGCATAACTGTGGTACACATTAGAACCCATTTTCTAGTTATTTCTTTAAATCTGTACTTGTTCGTTTAGGAATGTACGCTTTAACCCGAATTGTGTGCAGAAATTATTTAACGCTGACTATAAAGTTAAAACGTAAAGATTCCCTTTTAGATTACGCGATCCAATGATCAGATGACGTAGAGTTCATACGATTGTGTGGTCAGAACTTTGCCCCTCATACTACATTTACGTGGGTTTTGTACCCATCAAAAGGTTGGTGGACAATGGGACGATCTACTGGCTTTAACCCGGATTTGAACTCGAGCCTCTTGGCTTAGCAGTCTAGCGCTCTACTTCAAGGCCACGTCGTCTCCCACTATAATGGTACTCACATCGTAAATGTACAGTGGTAGGGGAATAACACTTAATACGTGTTGTATATTTCAATGTTACACGTAACATGAACACGCACATCACAATAAACTAATCAAATCTTTATAGAAATAAACTGTTTTTTTTTAAATTATGTCAATGAATTCCATGTGCTAATTCGCGTTTTAGGTGTATGACAATGACGTCGTTCTTAGAGGAATCAATCTCAATATAATTCAAGGCCAAACAACCGCTATAGTGGGAGTTCTAGGAAGCGGAAAATCAACGCTACTCTCTATACTATTAGGTATATTTGTATTTCTAAACTATCCCTATACTATTGAGTGTACACTTAATTTTTCTTAGTTTAGAATGTGATTTCGATTCTCCTCGGACATACGCCGCTGAGAAGAGCTTTCCAGGCATCTTTGTCCTGGGCTAGTCTGTTCAACTGTCCCCAGATGTATCCAATATTTGTTGTGTCTTCTTCCAGGTCACGTCGCCAGGTCTTTCTAGGTCGGCCTGTTTTTTTTTTTTTGACCTGTGGATTCCACTTTGAGGGTCTGTCTTGTAAGGCTTTTTGAGTGTTTGGCTATTCCGTTTCCATTTCCTCTGGGTGATCTCTTCTTTAGCTGGCAGTTAGTTTGTCCGTTGCCATAGTTCCTCAATGATGATGGTTTTAAGCCAGTGAATTCGAATGATCTTTCCGAAGCATGAGTTTATAAATGATTTAGATAGCCATTGAATTTTCCTATTTATTCTAATGTTGTTTTTTTTATTAAAAAGTGCATAACGTTGATTTTTATAGCAAATTTTAACTAAAATCTCAGTAATACCAAATTGTGAATTTAAAAATGTTGTATCCCATGTTTTTTTACATGTAAATCTGGTCAAATGTCTAGGCTTGACCCCAGCTTCCTTTGGGGCAGTCTACATAGACGGGGTTGACATCACTAAAGACCTGTCCAGAATCAGGTACGGGAACTTCTCGACCTGTCCACAAGAAAATATTTTCTTCCCAAAGTTGACGTGTCTGGAACACCTCACCTTTTTCTATCAGGTAAGAGAGCACAATAGAAATTTTGTTTGTAACTGTGCCAACAATTGTAGGTGTAACGTAAACAACGTCTCCATCTTTTTTCCTTCGTCCTAGCCGTAAACATGGAGGGGATTTCTTCCCACACTGTAACTTGTAAGTTTTTAAACTCAATGTGGCCCATAGATTCCAATGTCAGTCTGACTTTCACTCTGGATTTGCTTAAATCGTATTTTTTTCCAACTCCAATATCAACCCACTGCCGCCTGTAGTTTCTTCCAAAATGGACAAAGGGCTATGTGAACAAATACATGCAATACATAATTGTGTTGGAGGCAATCCCCAATTGAATTTAAGAACGAATTTGACGTCAAGATTTGATGACATCAATATTTGATGACGTCAAGATTTATTTACGTCAAAATTTCATGACGTCAAGATTTGATGATGTTAAGATTTGATGATGTCAAGATTTGATGACGTCAATCTCTACTACAGCTACAGCACGAGTACACGAGCTACATTGTAGCAGAGCTACAACACTTGCTCCAGCACGTGGGGCTGGAGGGGCGAGAACACTTGTACCCCACTAAACTCAATTTAGGACAGAAAAGGAAACTCTCCATTGCAAGCGCGTTTGCTGTGGATAAAAAGGTGAAGATACTTCAATCATAATCAAGTTATCTTAACTTTAGACGGCTTATGTGTTACAATGTAAACAATCAGAAACTATATTTTTACATTCTTTTTCTAATCTACTTTTTTCCCTTGCGTATGCAAAAAAGCTTATTGTTATTACATACTAGCTGTTCCGGCCAGGCCTTGCACTTGCCTTTGTTAACATTAATTTTTTCTAAAGAATCGTGGTTAGTGTGCTTACTATGGCCGCAGTCATATAAATATATTTCGTCTTTATAGTAAAGTAAAAAAGCAATAACATTCATCCTACACGTTTTTTTTTTTCATATTTCCTTTTGAAAATTTGACATCAAAGGAATGTTATAACTACACCCAGGGGCGTAGCGAGGGGGGGGGGGCGGGGGGTGCGGACCGCACCGGGTGACACCATTTAGGGGGGTGACACCAAGGCAAAAAATAGCAAAATATATAGAGGAAAACTTGAGGGGGGGGGGTGCAAATCAAAAACTTGAGGGGGGGGGTGCAAATCGAAAACTTAAGGGGGGGGGGTGTGCAAATCGAAAGTTTGAGGGGGGGGGGTGCAAATCGAAAATTTGAAAGTTTGTCCCCGGGAAGGGTTGCTACGCCTCTGTGGGGGTGACACCATTAAGTGCCGCACCGGGTGACACCCGACCTCGCTACGCCACTGACTACACCACCAACCAATAAAAACATTTTTTATGATTCAATATAACGATTTCTCTGTCATAAAAAATACGAAGTAAATCGTTTAAATTTAAATATTCGGCAAAATAAACCGAACACGTTGTTATGTAGATTTGACGGAGGTGAACATACGGATACAAAAGAAAGAAATATATAATATACACTTTTTTCTGATTTTTGTTGTTGTATTATAGAGTCATGATTTATTTTATATTGCGATTGCGATATTTCTGTTTTCTGTAGATAATATTTATCGATGAACCGACATGTGGTATCGATCATAAGGCCAGACGAGACATTTGGAGGTTCCTGAAGACAGCCCAGAGCGGGAAGACTATCATCGTGGCTACGAACAGCATGACGGAAGCCGGCAGGCTGGGTGACAGGATCGCTGTCATGAAGCACGGGGTCATCCAGAGCTGTGGCACCACGACTTTCCTAGATACTCTCTATGGTCAGTGGTGTTAAGTATATATAGTTGGCATTCTACTTCTAATGCTACTACATTATTATTTGGTTCGTGGTGCTCTGTATATATATAGTGGGCATTCAGAGTTCCGCTTCTATAACATTACAACATTATAATTTGGTTCGTGGTGCTCTGTATATATATAGTTGGCATTCAGAGTTCTGCTTCTGCTACGTTCCAATATTGATCTTTGGTTCTAGATATTAGGTACGTATTATAGTTATTCAGAGTTTTGCTTTACGACATTACAAGATACTCTTGTGGTGTATTGTATACATAGTGTGCATTGAGAGTTATGTTTCTATAACGTTAATACATTATTATTTGGTTCGTTGTGTTACGTATATATATAGTGGGCATTCAGAATTCCGCTTCTATAACGTTACTTCATTATTATTTCGTTCGTGGAATTCTGTATGTATATTAGGCATTCAGATTTCTTTTTCCTAACGCTACTACATTATTATTTGGTTCGTGATTTTACGTATACACAGTGTGGGCATTCAGAGTTCTGCTTTGATAACGTTACTGGATTATTCTTTGGTTTGTGGTGTTCTTTATGGTGAGTAGTGTTCTGTGTATATTGTAGGCATTCAGAGTTGAGACTCAACAGCGTTTCTATATAGTATTCAAGGTTTGGCTATACACATGTACCTTGATAATCTCTATGCTTCGTGATGATGAGCACATATTTTGGCCAGTGCATTCATATCTACATCTTTGCGGTTTGTTTTTTTGGCGTCTTAAAATTTTTTTGCCCACAGGGACAGGCTATACCCTCACCCTGGTGAAAGGTCCGATGTTTAATGAGGAGCTGATATACAATATTGTCAAACATTGGCTGGAAGAAGCGTGCTTAAAAGTATGATTATACTTGAATCAGTATCAATTTTTTTTTTGCACTTTATTTATCACTGGCACTTTTAAAAGTAACTCATCTTTCTCAGAAAGACATTTAAAAGTACTACTTATGTTGTCAGATGCATATTAAAAATTAGATCAACTTATTCAAGGGCAGTCTAAAAGTATCTTTTCACTTTTTTATTTGCACTGTTTTTTTAATGTAAAATACAGTTTCTTGGGAAAAACAATTGAATCAATATAATCACTTCAACAGATTAACAATTAAGAGAAAGAATCATATTTATTTTAGAAAATTTGAAAGCAGTTGTTTATTCTGCCAGTATCACATTTTCTAATATTTAAAACTTAAAAATCAACATATTTTATCATAAATGCTTCAATTTATTTTTAAAGTTTGGGTGACATATTTACGTTAGAAATTCTATTTTTGTGATTTTTTGTCCACCTTAGATATATTAAAGTGCTCGACAGAGCTGAGGTTATAATAGGAAATAAATACAATCGCTGAAAATATTACCAGTACAAGTTATGTAACAAAGGTACAATATTGACCCATGCACAGCACTTTGCACTCGCAACCGCATATTTTTTATCTTACGAATGCACAACACTTTGCGGTGGGACATGAGCAAGAATTTGTTCTGGTATCTCCAGGAGGTCACCCTGACCAAGATGAGGTTCCACCTGCCGGTCAAGAACTGCGGCCAGTTCCCTCGTCTCATGGCAGCACTGCAAGAGATCCTGGACAACCTGATCATCGACTCCAAGGAGATATCGGCATTCACGTTTGAAGAAATCTTACAGAGGTGAGAAACAAGAGTTTCAACGAGCGCAATTGTGTGTGGGCATGTGTGTATAATCAGCGCGTGTGTCCATGTGTGTATATTAAGCGTGTGTGTGTGCATGTGTGTATAATCAGCGCGTGTGTGCATGTGTGTATATCAGCGCGTGTGCATGTGTGTATAATCAGCGCGTGTGTGCATGTGTGTATATTCATGTGTGTGTGTGCATGTGTGTGTATATTCAGCGTGTGTGTGTGCATGTGTGTGTATATTCAGCGTGTGTGAACACGTGCAGAGTGTGTATGCAAATGTGTGTGCACCAGTGTCATTTTTGTTTTTCTTTTAGTGCTTTGAGAACCCTTAAAACGGTTATTCCGGGTTCTAATTTAGTTGAGTTGTGCTCTCAAGTGCATACACATGGACACACATAACAAGTACAAAAGCACACAATTACATAAATGCATGCTTATACAATCTCATATTTGTATATTTAAGCTATAAACATACATATTTAAATAAACATAAAAAATATATACATAAACCTTCACGTATTCACATGCACACTTATTATACGCATCTACATCGTCTTAATATACACATATCGTATACAAACATATGTACAAACATATTTACACATGTTGGTCACACATCGTTACAAAATGATGAAATATATCATTGTTACCTCCACCCCTGCCCTCCTCCTTATCAAATTGATAGTATTTGTACTTTAAAATGTGTTTTATTTACACTGTATTGTATGTGCTTGTTGAAATTCGATTTTGCTGAAACATTTAAAATTTTACAAAAACAGAATGTTTTAAAATGCGTAAAATTACGGTTCAAATCCTACCAATACATTTTAAAATGTGGCACTGTGTGTTCGTACTTACTGAACACTTGCCCTCTAAAACATCGTCACAAAATTCAGACCCCCCTTCCTTCCCCTCAGGTAGTGAGGCTTAATTTACAGACGACATGTATGCAGTCAATGTAGACTAATGTGATTACTTTCACTATTCTGGGCTTAATCTCAATGTGTCTTGTCTAACAGGGTCAACGAAGGCATGTTACCATCCAGCTCCGTCCCAAACCCCAAGTAAGTTACATTTCCTAGTTCCGGAAGCCGGAATTTTTTTCCGAAAGGCATTTTGCTCTTAAAATGAAATAATAAATATAAAATACAATGTAAAATAATATTTGTAATATAATATATTACCAAGGAGAAGAGACGAACGCTTATACATTCGGGGATTTTGTTGCATTCGGGCGAACGTCCATTAAGCACAAAATCATTTAGGTAAACTGCATTCGGAAATTGTCCATTCGGGAACTCGCCGGATCCTCACAAATGTAAATTCATTAACTTCAACCTATTCTCGATATTATAGAAACAAGGTAATTAAAAAGTCTAGTGACAATTTTAGCGCAATTTCCTTATGTTATCTAAAAATAGCTCTGTCGTAGCGTAAATCAACCATTGGTTAGTTATTAAAACGTTTTTTATTTTTTTTTTCCAGTATTTTACATGTTTTATTTACAATAGAGTTAAATGACTAAAAACCATTGCGCGCCTAGCTACTGAACGTGATGACGCAGCCGTTGAACGTGATGGCGCAACTATTGAACGTGATGACGCGTGTGGTGTGGTTGGATAAACATGCCTACTAATTCGGTCCAAATTTTAATTAATACAAAAAAAAATTTGTGACCGAACGAAAGGATATTTTTGAAAACTTTTTTGGCTTTTCCGGGAAATCCATGAAAGAAAGCCGGAATTTATTTGGCCCAATATCATCCTGGTAAATTGCTTAACATAATTGCTTTTGGAACTAGCCCCTCGATATTGCTTCGTTGAGGAGGAGATACGACTTAAAGCTGCGGACACACATTCATACATTCATTCATACATCCAGAAATGACGGGTTAATAAACGCAATTCGCTAAAAAAGAGTTACATAACGATACATTCTTTAAATTACTTTTTTTTAAAAATTCAATGAAATGATAAATGTAGTTCTAAATGGGTAATACGGTAAAAATGTAGGCCTATACTTTAGTAGTAGTTATTTTTCTCTTTCTAGACCTCTACCGGAATACGCAACGTCCCAGTTAAACATTAAATTTTCCGTCAACGACGTGGCGAACGATTGCAAAAGAAGAATATCTCCATCGCTGAGCAAAAGTCTGGACACGTACATCAAATCATTCCTGACCGCTGAACCGGAAAAGGCGCCCCGCGAGCCGAGGGAGAGCTTAGATTTTAACGAGTCTTCCCTGAAGTCGGAACAGGAATTCAACCCGTCTACCCTGAACCGAAAGTCAGACACGGAATTTAACCCGTCTTCCACGATCCCAAAGTCGGACACGGAACTTCGCCACCTTTCCGTACACTGGAAGCTAGACACGGATTTTAACGAATCTTCCATAAACCGAAATACGGAGACGGAACTTAACCAGTCTATCGTAAAAAGGAAGCTAGACGCGGATTTTAAAATGTCTTCCCTGAACCGAAAGTTGGACACGGAGTCCAAAGAATATTCCGTCAACCGGAAGTCGGACACGGAATCAAACCAGTCTTCCCTGAACCGGAAGTCGGAAACATATTCCAAACAATATTCCGTCAACCGGAAGTTGGACACGGAATCAAACCAGTCTTCCCTGAACCGGAAGTCGGAAACATATTCCAAACAATATTCCGTCAACCGGAATTCAGACACAGATTTTAACCAATCTTCCCTGAAACGGAAGTCAGACACAGATTTCAACCAGTCTTCCATGAGTAACAGATCAGAAACAGATTTCAACCAGTCTTCCCTGCTGAAAAAGAGTCTCCGGTCAGCCTCCGAGTACAAAGCAGACGACTTCTCGCTGGTGGCCAACACCCGGAAGTCGTTCTTCAGCCAAGCGTACGCCAGTGAGCTCCTCCACCTCGACAGGGCGTTTTCGGAGACACTGATCGGTACTGACCTTTAACCTTTTCATACAATTTAACACTAATTTTAAAAGCCCATGATGTTTGAATGCATGATAAAGCAGCTCACTGAAACAAGAAAACATCAAGCGTTTAATTTAAGTAGAGAGGGGCAATGATCAGAGTTTCTTCCAGACATCTCTTCGGGGGGGGGGAGGGGGGGCTAAGCCCCCCGAAAAATTTCTACCGCCCCCCCCCCCCCACGAAATGAAATTTATATAATTTATATAGAAAATATATACTTTTAACAGTGTCCGCCCCCCCCCCCCCCCCGAAGAAAGTTTACCGCCCCCCCCCGAAAATTTCAAGTGGCCCCCCGGAGAAAAAAGTCTGGAAGAAACACTGGCTATGATGTATTGTTTTAAAATTGATTATTTATAATATGATGACAATTAAAGGGTGCCTAAAGGGTGTTTCATAATTATCACCTTACGTGTTAAATTGAACGGCGTGTTCGGATACAAGGGCGTATGCCTCTTTACCAGAAAGCCTAACTTTAGATATCAGACTTCAGTCAGTATACGTTACCAGAATCCTTAAAGATCTGATTAGAAGCCTATCTCTCTAAAGTTATGAAATTAAACGTTCATTCACTCCAGTACTGTAAATTAGAGTTTATTTCAGGCATCTTATATCTACCGTCCCCAGAACAAAATATAATATTTTCTTTTACTAGTGTCCCCCCCCCCCCTCTCCAGGAAAAGTTAGCCCGCACCCCTATCTCAACATTTTTTAAGTCCCCACCCCCACTCCCCCCCACCCCAGAGAAAAAAGGCGGGAAAAAAACCCTACTGTAAACATTCCTGCGTATTTCTAATCTAAACCTCAATCATTCATTCTTGTGTTATATTCATAAATATAAACTGTAATAACTTCAACACTATTTTATAATCACTAGTCACACTGTTGTATAAATGTATAACTTCTCGGCCTTTGCAGAGGTGGTACGTTTTTTCTAAATTTCTTCTCCTTTCATCCTTTCAAGACAAAACAGAATTTGACTTTCACATGCTCAACGAAGAGAAACACGAAGGTATCCACCTGTTCTTCCAGCAAATGAAAGCCATATTCATCAAAAAGTGGATTATCTTCAAACGTAACATCCTACTGACCTACAGGATTATAACCTTTCACATAGCTCTAATCTGCGTTGGCCTGGTCGTAGTTTTACTGACCACGCCCGAGCAAGAAGCGTTAACTGAGTTGAACTTTGAAAACGTACGCGCTAAAGCCACGATCGTCCTTCGAAGACCTACCTTGAAAACAGAACCCATATTTTCATATTTCGTCTCCTGTTTGCCGGAGAGGTTTGATAGGATTCTAGTAGGCCAAAGAGAGGTGTGTGTGTTTTTATGGAATTATGTAGTTATATAAGTAAATCGTATACCTTCTATTTTACACAACAGTTTGACATAGAATGTTTTTGTAAACAATAAATAGATGCGTGTTGTTAGGTAAGAAAAGGCAGATTTAAAAAAAAAATATATAAAAAATATTTTAAGGTTAAGGATCATCCATAAATGACGTTTCGCTTTTTTGTCGATTATTATCCCCCCCCCCCCCCTGCCCCTCCTTTACAAATCGCCAACAAAAGCCTGGGACCCCCCCCCCCCCCTAAAAAGACGTCACATCTCAGACTGCAAACTCCATAAAACTGAAGATGAATGTTTCTTAAAACATCGATATTTTTCCCAAAATCTTGTCTGAACCCTGTCAGCATAGAGTATTTTAACCTATTTCTATTACAATGTATTAAAACAGTTTTCTGAAACGCGAAATAACGGCTAAAATTCGTTTTCTAACCTTGCTTTTTTTTTAATGCAAAAGTGTGACGTCACACCATCTGAACCCTCCCACCCCCTCATCCCCTCTTTCTCATTACACACCGTCACAAATTTATGAAATCCCCCTCTCCTCTACGAGTGTGACGCCATTTATGGACACTGCCTAAGACCTTAAGTAACTAAGAAGCAGTGTGTGTGTCTTGTGCTGGTTCAATGTGTTATGAGTTCATGTACACGTTACGGCGTTATGGAGCTATAACTCATCACCGTCAATTGATCTCCTAATTAACAACTGTGCATCCTTCCTTCACTACTGTGGTGTATGGTCTTAAAGCAATTGACCAGGAGGGGGGGGGGGGGGTAATGTCCATGTTTAACCAAGTGTCTAACTATAATTTTATTTTTATAATCATTCGCCCTAAAGTGTGGTAATTCCGTTTTAGGGATGTACATTTTTTGAAGCGCCAGGGTTATTTGGGGAAATAAGGTGGTTGGGGGGGGGGGGGGGAAGAAGAGGTATTTTTTGACTTAATCAAGTGTTGAACTCCTAATGTTACTCGCGTGAACCAGTCTAAGGTTAATCCACTAGCCACAGCCGTAGAAACAATTATGTAGCTTGGGTCACGGATTATATATACTTAAATATATATGGTACGTATAACCTCATTGGTCTTAAAGATGTATCCTTCACTATTATAATTTAATAGCCCAATCAAATCAGTACAGACAACTTATTGTTTAGCTTTGTGCTGTATTTTGGAAAAAAAAATCAGCTTTAAACCCCCGCGCCATTTATTTCTAGAACTTTACAGATGTACTTAACGCGTGGATGGAGGTAAAGCAAGATAAAGACAAGCCGCACTTGGTGCTTGGCGTGGAACTGCGCGCGCCGCCTGAGTACTCACGCCTGTACAGTGCTAGCTGCCACACCTTCAGTCGGGCTATAGCGGTGTGTCTTATATAGAAGTAGTGTGTCTTATATAGATGCCATGTGTCTTCTCTAGAGGTCATGTGTCTTATGTAGAGGTCATGTGTCTTCTGTAGAGATCATGCATATTCTGTAGAGGTCATGTGTCTTTTAGAGAGTATGTGTCTTCTATAGAGGTCATGTGTCTTATGTAGAGGTCATCTGTCTTCTGTAGAGGTAATGTGTCTTATGTAGAGGTCATCTGTCTTCTGTAGAGGTCATGTGTCTTATGTAGAGGTCATGTGTCTTCTGTAGAGGTCATCTGTCTTCTGTAGAGGTCATGTGTCTTATAAATAGTTCATGTGTCTTCTGTAGAGGTCATGTGTCTTATAAATAGTTCATGTGTCTAATAGAAGTAATGTGTCTTATGGAGGTCATGTCTTATATATTAGTCATGCGTGCTATAGAGATAATGTGTATTATATAGAGGTCGTGTCTTGTGTAGACATCATGTGTATTCTGTAGGTGTCACGTATCTTATATAGAGGTCGTGTCTACTGAATGTTTGTTTCTCTTCAACCAACCATATCCAGTGTCTACTGAATGTTTGTTTTGTTCAACCAGTCAGATCCAGTGTTTGCTGAATGTTTGTTTTGTTCTCTTCAACCAACCAGATCCAGTGTCTATTAAATGTTTGTTTCGTTCTATTTAACAAACCAGCTCCAGTGTCTACTCAACGCCCACATGCAGCTGTACTTTGGGAGTGACCACACCATCACGACCTACGTCCGAACGTTCGTATCCCACGAGAGGGGAACACACTACCACATAGACCTGCAGTTCCCTGTGGCCCTGAGGAACATGTACCTCTCAGCCTGGACAATCAGCATCGCTGTGTGGGTTGTTGAATCTTTCTTCCTCAGCAAAGTTGTCTACGAATGTTGTGTAAGTTGATTGGAGTATTTTCTATTTATTATCTAGACGCATTACGCAGTGTTGGTCAGATTCCTTGCGGTAAGTTTGTAGTTTTTGTACACTAGAAAAGGTATCTACAGTTTACAGTATATATACAATAATAAAGACACAGGTCCATTGAAAGTTTTATTTGACTGCAACTAGATTTTGATAAAGTGTTATATAAATTTTAACGTATTTAGCTTTCTTTTGAAAAATCGTATAAGTCTTTTTGTAGTATTTTGGTATTAAGAGATTTTGAAAGAAAAAAAAAATTGCCTAAATAAATACAAAAGAATTGCAAACCATTTATTTTAGAGATTTATTTTGAAACAGTGGTTTCAGCACATTTTTTGGAAAAAATCTTAAAACTCTAATACATTTTATCTTTAAAAACAGTGTGTACATTTTCCCTTCAAAATCTTTACACACATTTTCATTACTTTTTTTCTGGTGATTCTTTAAAATCATTGTATAAGTTGTCCTTTAAAAAGTAAAAAGGTAGCACATTTTTCAAACAATCATTAAATAGAATTACTTAAATACTTTTTCTGAAACCTCACGACCCACGGGGCAAGGGAAGTAAGGTTCACCTGTTTTATTGACAAGTGTATAATATGTAGTTATAGTGTGGTCAGCACTATTTATAGCCGCATTTACTTTCCCTAACGTGAGCTGGTTAGACTCAGGGGCGTCATATAAATTCTAGCACGTTGAGACTTTCAGGTTTACTCTGTATCATTTTTCTATTACCTTTAAGAAAAAAATAACTTTTGAATATATTTTACGAATAAACCTTACAAATTATGTTGCTTACATTTGCGGAGAGTGTTAAAATACATTTTCGTGCATTTCTTACACAATGTTCTAATATAATTTTGGGGAGTCTTTTCAAGATTATTAAATACACTTTTCGTTGTGTCATCAAAAATATATTTTACGACATTTGGTCCAACAGTTGGGCTTCAAACATCTACAATATATCAGCGGCATTCATGCGTGTCGCTACTGGCTGACGCACTTCCTGTTCGACTTCCTGCTCTGCCTGCTGATTGTCATGGTCCAGTCGGCCTGCGCCCTGATACACCCAGCCATGCATGGCCCCAGCATCGTCCATCTGGCAGTGGTCCTGGTCATGTTCATGTTCAGCATCCTGCCTTACTTGTATATGCTTCAGGGTGTTTTTAAAGGGCCCGAGGTCGCTTTGTTGCAGTATATATTGTTGAACGTTATCGTTGGTGAGTATTTTGTTTCGTTTTGTTTTTGTTATGGATATTTGTTAACCAATTGGGTTAGTTAACATCTATTTGGACATCTCTAAACAGATGTTTGATACATTGGCGAGTAAAGATCTCCTTCCAAACCTGATGGTATATGGGGCAAGTGAAGTAAAGTTTACCTGCTTCTGTGACCTCGGCATATGAAGAGATAGTGTGGTCAGCACTGTGGCTAGCAGCCTTTACTTTCACTAACGTGAGTAAGGTACTCATCAGGGCTGGATGGACTCATGGACGGTCTATCGGCTTTAACTCGGATTCAAACTTGAGACTTACGGGTTAGCATTCTAGCTCACTATCACTCCGTCCCCTGTTTGATACGAGTATAGTAAAAAAAAAACAACACAAAGACAAAACAAAAACGATAGTTTTTCTTTTTGGACCTGGTGAGATGAATTAGAATCAACCTGCTTCTGTAAATTCCGCATATGAAGAAGTAGAATCTTCATGACTTTGCCTAGCCGCGTTTAATTTGCGTAAGATGAGTTAGGTAGGCCTAGGTTCCAGAGCTCGGTAGGCTCATAGACTTCCAACGTACGCAAACAGTCATTTGCACTATTACAAAAAGACCCCCCCCCCCCCCCAGCCCTTTCTCTACTTAATAGGCAATACAAACTACACAACTTTATACACTACTCCTAGGTATACAAATCAATACATGTTTTCCTTTAAATTCAAACAGAACCTTTGGTGTTCTTCAGCGCGTCTAAGATATCTTACCAAACTATAACAATATCATTTGGGTACGAAGATTTTTTCATGCATTACTTTTTGTTGGAGGGAATCAACTTTCTGCCACGGACGAAACTGACACAGAATAAAATTTAAAAGAAAGTGTTTACTGCTCGTTACTCTCCGCTTCCTTATGGGCAAAATATCTGGGAGAAAAACTTGCTTGAGATACGGTTTTATTCATTTCCAACCAGAGACGTAGCGACATCTCCCGGCGCCCGGAGACAAACCTTAAATTTGACATCCCCTCACTATAATTTTTATGTTTATAATTAAAATATGCAGCTAAAAGCCTCTGTTTCCAACGTGTGCATACGTGTGTTAAGGCTAATCCGATAACTTCTCCTGTCTCAGCGGTGGTTGATGAGGTTGGAATAATAAGCTTTCAAGAGGGCTCCTGGAAAAAATACTTTCTTGGCCTCATCTTTCCGAACCTGCTGCTGCACCGAACATTCTTAGAGCTGTTTGACTTGCGTCATTTTCATCAAGGTGAGAGTTGGTAAAGAGTTGGTATTTCCTTGTTAATGGAGGTGTTCAGTTGATGATGTTTGTATTTAGTTAGTGGTGGAGGTGTTCAGTTGATGACGTTTGTATTTAGTTAGTGGTGGTGGTGTTCAGTTGATGATGTTTGTATTTAGTTGGTTGTGGTCAGTTGCTGATGTTTGTAATTAGTTGGTGGTGGTGTTCAGTTGGTGATGTTCGTATTTAGTTGGTGGTGGTAGTGCTCAGTTGATGGTGTTGATGTTTAGTTGGAACCATAACCTATATCAACACCTCTGCAATCCCCTTCACTGTAATATAAGATTATACTAAAAAGTTGAGGGAGATCACTCCCACTTTATTTAGTTTAAATTATATTCAATCGATTTATGCATTTGATGGAGGCAAGCTATTTTTATTATAATTATCTGTACAACTTTTTAAAAAAATCGCTATGAACGTGTATGTTAACTTAAATAACATACAAATTCCTTGAATATATTACATATATCTAACATAAATGTTAGCCTCTAAAAAAACAAATCTGAAATTTTATCGAAAATGAAACTTAAACTGGAAGTTCAAAAGGAAACTCAAATTTCACAAGACACCAAAAATGTATGTTCACATCATCAAATTACCTTCTTAATTAATCTTTTTAATCAACGTTTCCTTAGAAATTGATTTCATTATTTCAACGCTAATATGTGTCTTATCCAAATAAAAAAAATAGAATAAAGCCGACGAACAGGTCTCTACTATTAAGTAAAAACATTATTCCGAATGTAGCAATGGTCAATTAAAAGTATATTTTATTATGTGTTAGCTTTTATTTTAATGTATGTGTTTCATCAACTACGTTATTTGTATTCACTCTGTTTACCTTCAGACGTCGACTGCCAACTGTTCGATCTGTGTCAAAATACCAACTTACTTTTCTTACCCAACGCTCTATGCTACTGGCTAATTTTATTGGCAATCGAACTCCAATTGCTCAAACGGTTTTGGTAATTTTTATTTTCTTTCGTTTAACCAATGTTTAATACAACTTAATTCATATTTTAGATCTGCATTATTAGTATGTTTAAAAATATAAAAATATATAACATTTGAACAACAGCTTTCCAATTGAGCAGTGGCGTCGTTAGGTCCGGTGTCACCCGGTGCTGCACTTCATGGTGTCCCCCCCCCCACGCACACACCAAAGAAAAAAGTATATATATATATATATATATATATATATATATATATATATATATATATATATATATATATATATATATATATATATATATATATATATATAATATAAGCGGGCTGTGTCTGTCCTTCCTTCCTTCCTTCCTTCTGTCATCGCTATAGCTTTTGGAACCATACAAGTAAACATTCGCACCATGCTGTGCTTTTCAGTGCATCGCAGTGTCTTATTATAAGTATTAGAGTAGGGTTTGTTTATATAGCGGCATTGAGCTATTTTATAATTTACACTGTTTGTACAATTTTGCATAACGTAAAGAGAATATTAAATATACGCACACTGCTAAAACATATTAAAAGGATCAATGTCAAATATCGTTTTCGTTAATATTCCTAGAAAAAGTGGATACATTTTTATAACATAATAACTGTAGGTTAGAAAAATCTAATTAAACTGTTTAGTAATTTTGCCAAGGGAGGTATTTTAAAAATAAATTGAACTCACGCTAAAAATGTGAATGCAAAATCTGCAAGACGGAATAATTGTTGGAATAATATAATTAGCAAAATGTGAATGCAAATTATGCAGACGTGTAAGAGTACATTATTGTTGGAATATTATAATTAGCATTGATTGATAAAAGGCTATCTTTTATTTATTTTATTCACGGAATTTAATGTTTACTACTTATACTTTTTTATCAACTATTAAGCACTATTATAGACGCGTCATCACGTTCATTTGGTGCGCAATGGTTTTAGTTATGAAACTCTATTGTAATTTTTTAAAATTTAAAGTACTGGGAAAAAAAATGCGTGAATTGATAAAGTGATATAATATGGTAGGTAAAACACGGATATTTTAAATACTGCTGGGGGTTTTATAGGAGAGGAGTAGAGAGGGGGGGGGAGCATATGTCCCCGGTTGCCGACCTAAGGGGGCGCCAAAGTGGGTTGGAAAAAATTTGCGTGGGGGGGGGGGGGTGCGTGGGGTGGTGGAAATCGAAAGTTTGAGGGGGGGAGGGGAAATTTCAAATCAAAAGTGGTGCAAATCAAAAGTGAAGGGGGGGGGGGGGGGGGGTGCAAATCGTAAGTTTTTCCCCGGGCGCCGGAAAGAGTCGCTACGCCTCTGTTTTATAGTCATTCACTGTGTCAGACGTGCCCGGCGACGCTCGGAAAGGGCGCGATTTGACGCTACGGGCTAGACTGTGAGCAATATGCCTTTATGATTGCATTTAAATTGTGTTTATGTTATGAGTGTTATGTTTGTTTTTACGTTTTTTTTTTTTTGCGTTCGTTAGTGTTGCGTTTAGTTTTGTTCTGTTCCCAAGTTGGTACATTTAAAAAAGATTTACCGTGGCGGAGCACGGGATGCAGCTAGTATATATATATATATATATATATATATATATATATATATATATATATATATATATATATATTTATATATATATATATATATATATATATAGGTGTATTGTTGACCTTTTAACTCTAATTATTCATTTAGTGAGCTGACAAAAAGCATTTTTGTTCTATATATGTTGCAGTTTTTCGTCTTGGTGTCACCCCACTAGCTGTTGTCACCCGGTGTGGTCCGCACCCCCCCCCCCCCACGCCCCCGCCTCGCGACGCCTCTGCAATTGAGTGTTTTGATTTTGAAATGGTGCTCTAAGGTAGTGATATGTCCCTAGGTACTCGGCCTGTTGCTGCTGTTCTGACATGTACGTCTGCTTCAACGAGCACCATCGCATCAACCACGCCAGGTACAAGCGGAACTACGAGAGCGACAACGACGTGACGGCCGTCAGGATGAGGATCATCAACGACAGCCTGACTATACTCTTTGCTAACGGTAAGTATGACACACTTGACTATATTCTTTGCTAACGGTAAATATGACACACTTGACTATACTCTTTGCTAACGGTAAATATGACACACTTGACTATCCTCTTTGCTAATGGTAAATATGACACACTCGACTATACTCTTTGCTAACGGTAAATATGACACACACGACTATACTCTTTGCTAACGGTAAATATGACACACTTGACTATACTCTTTGCTAACGGTAAATATTACACACTTGACTATATTGTTTGCTAACGGTACATAGAACACACATGATCATACTGTTTGCTAACGGTAAATGTGACATTCTTGTTTTGTAATGTAAGTTAAAGTTCATATTCTGACCTGGATGCCGACGGGATAGATGAAGTAGAGTGCACCTGCTTCTGTGACTTTACCATATAAAGGTGTTAAGCATTATGTCAAGCTGTCTTAACTCTCCATAATAACTGTGACGTCCGACAATTCTATCCAGGGAAACTCGAGACTTTTTGGTTAGCAGACGTGAGTTCTAGCATTCGACCATTTACTGTATCATGAGCATCGGTTTATTAAGAAACTTGCGTAATTGTATATTGTAAATGTAATTGCCCATGAATTTATATTTTATCACTTTGGAAATGTTTGATATTGTATTTTAATAATTACTTGTAGCCTACCTTTCTATTTAGCATAATCGAAAACGGCCAATAACTCTTACTTTACACCCAAACACTAACCACTCACAATAAAAATGTCTCGATAACTGATGGATGAATTTGAAAAGACTAATGTACAATATCGTCCTCGTAACTGTTTATTTCCTATAACAAATATATCTTGTGGTACGGGGTGGTCGGATGGTGGAGATTACGACTACAAATCAGAGGCGTAGCGACCCTTCCCAGCACCCGGGGACAAACTTTCGATTTGCACCCCGCCGTCGAACTTTCGATTTGCACTCAAAATTTTCGATTTGCACCCCCCCCCCCCTCAAACTTTTGATTTGCACCCCCCTCAAACTTTCGATTTGCACCCCTACTTCAAACTTTCGATTACTTTTTCCAACCCATTTGTCCCCCCTGACCCCCCATCGCTACGCCTCTGCTACAAACCTTAATGTTTTGAGACCGGATCCCGTCCAAAGAACCACCATGAAACCAACCAAAATTGTACATGCCAAGTACTGTGGAATAAAAGCGGCTTGATGTAGTACTGAATCTACAAATTCAGCATCCGAGACCAACAATTATAAAAGCGTACATCCTGTTTTATCCCAGACGAGATCATCGTCTACAACATCTGCAAGAAATACCGCATCAGGGATCGCGCCCTTGTCGCCGTCGAGAACACCTCCCTCGGCTTGAAGAAAAACGACTTCTTCGGGTTGCTAGGCAACACCGGCTGCGGGAAGTCAACGCTGCTGAACATGATGGTGGGGAAGATTATGATGACCTACGGCGACGTCTACTACAACGGCCACAGCATCAAGACTGATTTCTTTAAGGTGAGTTTATACAATGGCCAGCTGAGGCAGTAAATAACAGCTAGGTGACGTCTATAACACCGTCGCCAGCATTAAGACTGATTTCTTTAGGGTGCGTCTCTACCGTGACCAACTGAGGCAGTCTTCTTCTTCTTCGTTCTAAATTATTAGTGTTGAAGGGGATCGAGATTTATCTGCCAGTGGGTTTGAACTCGAGAGACTTTGTTCGAACTTATCAACCATGAGTTTTTTGCCGACTCGACCACGCCTCCAACACAATTAAGCGTTACGTGTCAACTGGTTATGCGCCATTGAGGCCATTGACTCCGATTTCAGCCTGCTTTTCTTTTTGGATTTGCTTCCATAGCCTTTGTCCAACCAAGAACAAACTACAAGGCAGCAGTTGTTTTAATTTTGGAGTTGTCTCTCCTAGAAGAGTGGCTGTCCCCAGCTAACGAGCCTCATCTGCCCGAGGGTTCGAACTCGAGACTTTTCGGTTTAGCAACCATGAGCTTTACCGACTCGACCACGCCGACCCCTACTGAGGCAGTGATATAGTGATTTAGGAGCTAGGTGACGTCTTCTGTGAGTTTAGGGTTTAGTAGTAGACCGCGCGCTCGATAACCTGAAAATCACGAGTTCAGATCATGGGCTGGAGGCCGTATGTCGTACCTTGAGCGAACTGCCCTCATGTCCAAACCAGGTGTTGCGATGCACTGGGGGAGGAAGGAAAGGCCTGGCGGAAACCCACGGGTCTAGCGGCTGGTAACATGGTTGAATGAAATGCTCGATTGTTAACCCTGTTGCAGTCTGCCTGGCTAATTAGCAACAGCTTGAGCCGGTAATGACTGTATAAGCAGAGGCGTAGCGACCCTTCCCGGCGCCCGGGGACACACTTTCGATTTGCATCCCCCCTCAAACTTTCGATTTGCACCCCTCCCTTCAAACTTTCGATTACTTTTTCCAACCCATTTTGGCGCCCCCTAAGGTCGGCGCCCGGGGTCATGTGTCCCCCCCCCCCCCCTGCCAACCCCTATCGCTACGGTAGTTTTATTATCAGCTACTTACTTATATGATATCATGGTCGACACTATAAACTCAATCACAATAATTTCATATATGTATATATATATATATATATATATATATATATATATATATATATATATATATATATATATATATATATATATATATATATATATATGATTGCATGTGTGTGTATAATAAATAGCCCTCCTAGTTATTTTATATCTGATTAAAAACAAACATTTGAATGATTTTTTGTTTCCATTTTCAGACCTCACGGTCTATAAGCCAAGCGAAGTAGAGTTCACTTGTTTCTGTGACCTCGGCATATGATTATTTGAAGGATTTAGCAAATGTTATTGTTACTTGAAAGTCAAACTGGAGCTTACCATAATCCCTCACAACTAAACATTGCTGTAATTAGAAGCTGACGCAAGTATTTTCTTCCCCCACGCCATCTTCCAGGTAGCCAAACACATCGGCTACTGCTCTCAAGACGATTACCTGATCAACGAGTTAACCGGTCGGGAGACGCTGCTGCTCTTTGGGCGCATCAGGGGCGTCCCCGAGCAGAGGCTCCAGCGCATTGTTGAGTACCTGGCTGACGTCACGCTGCTCACCTCCATTGTGGACTTTCGTGTGCAGAACTACAAGTGGGTTTAAGCTTTACATACTCACCATCCTGTTTCAACTCATCGTAGGCTATAGTTAAGTTACCATGATCTGGTATTGTGGTGAGTAGGAAATATGAAGTAGAGTTCACTAGTTTCTGTGACCTCGGAATATACATCGGTAGCGGTCAGTTCTTAAAATCAGTCATGTATCTATGCTGCCGAATGGACTTTAAAACGCCCTAGATATCCGAACCCTTAATCAGAATTCGATCCGCTGATCGGAATTCGAACCGGTGATCGGAATTCGAACCCGAGGAATAGCTACAAATATCTAAACTTTTTCATTGAATGTTGATATTGTAAATAAGAAAGACAGTTAAAATCTGGAGCAATCTAAACACAGAACGTGCTTTATTAACTACAAACGAAACGTGCTTTAATAATATTGTTTATTGATCTGATTTAGTTTTAGTTTTTTATACCAGCAATATATTTTAGCGATGTCAGAAAAATACGTGTTTGTCATCTAATAAAAGAAAAACCACCATGAAATGCTAACGTAAACATTATACAATTGTTTTTCAGTATTATCAACCGAAGGAAATTGTCTTTCGCTATAGCTATAATCGGCAACCCCCCGTATATACTGATGGACGAGCCCACAAAGGGGGTGGAGCCTATTGTCAAGTTGGCGATGTGGAGTTTACTTAGACATCATCAGAAGAGTGGCTGTACAATCATACTGGCTAGCGAAAGGTTGGATGATTTTGTTGTCCCCGCTCTCTCTCTCTCTCTCTCTCTCTCTCTAACACACTCTCTCTATCTGTCTCTCTCTTACACGGCAATTACTAGCTCAAGCTATTGCTCATAACAGGCTTGAGACAGTGCTAGTAATCCAGCGGAGTGGTCGCATAGTAGAGCTTTTGACTGCTATCCCGAAATTCTCGGGTCCTGACTCACGTTAGGGAAACAAAGGCGACTGGGTGTAGTGATGAACATATTATTCCCTCGCTAACCGAAACAGATTAAATCTACTGCATCTGCCACATGTGTCTTGGGTACAAACCAAAAACTAGACGCGTAGGTTACTGCCAAGTTACACACCTAGTTAGCAAGACGTTCGACATAACAGAAAATCCGTTGGCTTTGTATAACTAGACCGAGTGCCACTATACACTACCATAGTTTTGTCTAGTAAATCATAAACTTGCCTATTTGTGTCCAGCTGTCCAGAGTGCTACTATACACCACCATAAACTTGTCTAGTACATCATAAACTAGTCTATTTGTGTCCAGCTGTCCAGAGTGCCACTATACACTACCATAAACTTGTCTAGTACATCATAAATTAGTCTATTTGTGTCCAGCTGTCGAGAGTGCACGACGCTTTGCACAACGATGGCCGTTATGGTGGACAGCAGAATAGTCTGCCTGGGTACGCCAGAGCAGCTGAGTCGAAAGTACGGCAACAGCTACACAATATCCCTGCACTTGAAAGACGGCTTGGACACAACAAAGCACATTGTGAAGCACATCCACACTGTGTTTAAGCGAGTTCCGGTGAGTTTGTTAAATGGGATGATAAAACGACTTTATAGCTATGAAAATTGCAGGTTATTTCAGAAACGTTAGCAACTAATTTGAAACGAAACATAAATCGCATTTTCAAAAGGGAAGATTCGTCTGAACTTTTAAATAAAGTAAGTATTTGTGATCTTACAATGACGATAATAAATAAACATCGCTATCATTAAATGTAAGGGTTAATATACCCTATCTCAACAAAAATTCTCGTCAATTAGCATCACCATACTTTTCCATTCGTGCCCAAAATTATTGAGTACATAATGTAGAGATGGGATGGCGTGGCCTAGCGGTGGAGCGCTAGATTGCTAACCCAATAATTTCGAGTTTGAATCCGGGTTCAAGTGGAACGTCCCTGAGTCCACCCATCTCTGATGGATACCTAACTCAGGTTAGGGAAAGTAAAGGTAGCTGGGCATAGTACTGACCACATTATCCCTTTACATGCCGAGATCAGAAACATGAACGCCACTTCATCATATTAATGGATTGTTAGGTCTAAAGAGGAATCTTTATTTTTTTTAATGTAGAGATCATCTGTTGCAATGACCTCGGTGTATAGGGAGATAGTGTTGTCAGCGTTAAACCAAAGTGCCTATTTTAAGTGCATGTCTTCAAACTAATTTTTTATGAATTTTCGAATTGTGGGTCCATTAAAAACACTAGTTTTAATGCCCCAAAATTCCCCAAAATTAAGTGTTTTGAACGGACACAAATTTTGAAAATTCATAAAAAATTAGTTTGAAGATATGCACTTACAATTTTTAGCTGAGTGCCCCAAAATATGGAAGAAGATTATGAATTAATTGTTTATAGGGCTTAAAATGTAATATTTTATGAATGGTGGAAAACCTACGAAGGTGTTAATTTTTCAAGATGGCCGCCGTTGTCATAATTACGAAGATTTTTTCACCATTTTTTTAAAGTGGAAATGCATATGCGGATGTATCTTAATAAAGCTGTAAAGAAATAGCTGTTTTCTTACGAGTATTAAAAAAGTTTTTTTTTTACCGGAGCCTTCCCCCCTTAATATGAGTATCAGACGTCGGAGTGGTCGAGTCGGTAAAGCTCATGGTTGCTAAACCGAAAAGTCTCGAATTCGAACCCTCGAGCAGATAAGCCTCCATAGCTGATGAGCAGCAACCAATCTACGAGAGACAACTCCAAAATCAAAGAATTGTTGCTTGTTAGTTTGTTCTTGATTGGACAAAAGCTATGGTAGAAATCTCCACACAAAAAAGTCAGTGTGAAAACAGAGTAAATGGCTTATTTGACAACATGGCACATAACGAGTTGACACAAGTTTAAACTTATCAACCGTGTCTTAATTAAAAATAAAACTTTAAAAAGTGGTCTGAAAAAATGACCATCTATTTGTTTTCCTAATATATAAAAATAAAATAAAATAAAAACAGCAACATAATGCAATACTCATTTCCCCATTAGGTTTATGAAACCGATATGTACGTTCACTTTGAGTTACCTCAAAACCTGATGCCCCTGTCAAAACTGTTTACCCTGACGGAGACGATGAAAGTTGAGCTGGATTTGGACTCGTATACCATCCGCCATACCTCACTAGAGCTGAAGTATTTGTTCTACATGTGGAAGGAGGAGGACCACTGACAGGGAGGGGGTGGGGGTGGTGGACGAATGTATGGGTTCAATGATAAAAGGTCGAGTCTTTAATATGCGATGATTGATGATATAAAAATATAATCGCTGAAAAAATGGTATGTGTTCTGTTGTTATTTTTAGCTTCACTCCTTGCTTAGGCAGTTGTCTTTAGTTGAGACTATGTAAGTCTATCTACCCTAACATCTCTTTCTACTGTCCTTCTCAAAGATGTATTTGATTGTGTGTTTTATCCCTACGAATTGGCCTCGGAACTTGTTTTCTTCAGTCGAATCTTTTCGTCTCATAGTGAGGATTCAACTATCAAATTCACCTTTTATTCCATCTCGTAAATGTAACAGATGAAAATTTAAATAGGATTTTCGGCACAATAGGGCTCAACTCCTGTTGTTTATCACACATCCAGGAACTCAGTGAACCACATTCATGGCCGAATTCAGAAATTTATCTGGCTACTTTGTGAAAAGCCGACCTTTTTTCTAACATTAATCGGCTATCTATTGATGCTGAGTGGGATGTAATTCTCACTCAACTTCGGTATCAGCGTTACTTTTAGGCGTCTCTTCAAGTGGAGGGGGTGGCACCCACAAATGCTGCCCTTCCCGCAACGGAATAGAAACATTATACATTTTATTACACATATTTACTTAACTAGTGCCCGCCCCACTCTTAGAAATTCAAGTGAGCCCCCACTCTCTATCGAATGCTTCAAGTTCCCCCCAATTCCCCGAGAGAAATGTCTGAAAGAAACACTCCAGGATCTGAACTCGAGATTGTTGAAGGTTAGCAGTCGTGCACACTAAAATATGTTTTACCATCTGCCCTTCAGTAACACTCACAACTTAACCAATCGTCCGACAACAGAGTTGAGGCAACATGCAACTCCATAGCCTTAGCTTGCGAGGCAGGTACAAGGTTTTTTCCAGGTATCTCTTCGAGGGGGAGGGGGTGGGGGGGGTCAACGACCCGGCCCCAGAGTCGTAGCGACCTTACCAGTCGGCCGGGGACAAATTTTCGATTTGCACCCTCCCCCTCAGACTTTCGATTTCCACCCCCCCCCCCCCACTCACACTTTCAATTTGCACCCCGTTAGACTTTCGATTTGCACCCCCTTCAAACTTTCAATTTGTTTTTCCAACCGATTTTGGCGCCCCCTAAGGTCGGCGCCCGGGGACATATGCCCCCCCCCCCACGCCCCCCACCCAAAAAGTCCCCCCCCCCCAGAATGAAATGGAACATATAGAAAATATATACTTTGACCAGTGTCCGACAACCACTCCGCCCGAAAATATCAAGTGCCCCCCCCCCCCCTCCCGCGGAGTCAAATCTCTGGAAGAAACACTGGGTAGGTTGTGTAGTAATTTATCATTTATCCATTCAGAAACTTGTGACTAGAAACAAATACTACGAAACAGCTCAACCAACTTTATTTACATGAAAGTTATCACCAGTATCTGTAAACAAAATGTAATAACAATACATTTACACTGGTAAAAGGTCACATGATAAAAAACCATAACAATATAGACTAACATGGTGACATCATAATAATATTAAGGGTCGTCCATAAATGACTTCACACTCGTAGAGGGGAGGGGGGTCCGTAATTTTGTGACGGTGTGTGATGAGAGGGAGGCGGGGGGGGGGGGGGTTCAGATGGTGGGACGTCACATTTTTGCATTAACAAAAATTAATGTTAGAAAACCAATTTTAGCAGATATTTCGCGTTTTAGTAAAATACTCTATGTTGAGAGAGTTCAGACAAGATTTTGGAAAAAATATCGATGTTTTAAGAAAAAATTAAACTGCCTTTTTGAGGGGGTTGTAGGCCAAGGTGTGACGTCATGGTAGGGGGGTAGAGGGTCTGGCTTTTTGTGACGATGTGTGACGGAGGGGAGTGGGAGGGGGGAGGTAAAAATCGTCAAAAAAGGCGTGACGTCATTTATGGATGACCCCTCACTTAAAATGTATATACATTTTTAAATGCTGCTCTGTCTAAGCATATTAAGCAAAAATAAATATGCAAATTAACTTCAGGAGATAATGCAGTTTAAATGTAGCTTCCATTTAAAAAATAAAATAAAATAAAACATAGCAGTAATACGGCAAAAACATTAAGATGACATTATTGTATGTGCATTTAAATACATTTAAATACAGAGGTTACTATAATGACGTTTTTATTTGGTTGTAGTGTTTAAAAAAAAATAAAATTAAAAAACGAAACAATTAAAAAAAAGAAAAATGCAATGGTTACAATGCTCAAGTAGAGTTGAGTGTTAATTAAAGACGCTGTATATGCCAAAGATTAGCAACATACATACATAAGGTATTTACCGATTTTTTTTTACAAATTATTCACATAGAAGTGATCCATGATCTTCGCATAACATAAACACAGCTTAGAAACATTGTTGTATGATCACATTCAAAAGGGTTAAGAATATACAGGGTTAGGAAATGGAACATATCGTCCACTGCTATCAACAACGTTCAGCAACAGACACTGAAGCTATTAGCTAAAAATAACTTTTATTAACATTAGTGATAATAGACAAAAAAGTTTACGTTTTTTTTGTCCAGCTCACGTATTTTGAGACAAACTTTTTTTTTTTTTTTTTTTTTTTTTTTGAGACAAGCGTTGGTTAAACTTAACCAGGTGTGACTAAACGAGAAAAATAGCAACACACCTTACAAGATACTTGCCTAGTCATTATTTATGTGCAATAAAATGTTATTTATTAAAACCATGTACTTAATTTAACAAACAATACAATGCACAGCACAGAACTTAGACATATTAAGATGACTTAGATTTTAAAAAAAGTCGTTGATTTTTTTATTAAAAAAATGGAGAGCAGAATGGAACAATGGGGTACTTGTGATGTTTCTGTATGTTTAAAACAGAATTGTATTACAAATCATGGTGCTGTATAACAAAAAATAAAATAAAAACGTTACTCCTCAAAAAAAGTGGATTTGTGTCGATTAAAAATGTGGAAAAAGGCATCAACTACGAAGAGAAATGTTAACCAGATTAAAATGTCAAATAAATATGTTTAAAAAGAAAACAACAACAACAGAAAACGCAAAACGTAACCGAAAAAAAAAGATAAACATAAGTTTGCAACTTATTGTATGATCACCACCACAGCCAAAAGTAATGTATGCAAGGCAACTTTTAAATTCAAAGAAAAAGTAAAATACACATGAAAAAAAAATTCAATTAAACATTAATAACTTCTTTATTAAAAAGCGTGTGCTATACACAATCAAATCAAAATCATGCTTGGAAAAAAATAGAGAGAAATTATTGATGTCTAAATGCAAGGCTGAATAGAAATTCAGAGTATTTCAATAGTAAAATATTATTTAGACACAATAAAAAAAAAAGATTTTTTTTATGCAGGTTAATTTAATTAATGCCAATTAAGGCGGTATTCATATAAATAATGTAACAATCGTTTTTAAAGTTGGATTAGCAACTAAGGATCGCAATATTTGCGTATGGCGAGAAATGTACTGTTATATTTTGGCAGTGAGTTGGCTAAAAAAGAACTCCGCAGTTCTAATGTAACTTCGGTAAAAAAAAAAATTAAACAGTGTAAAACCGCTATACCAGCAATGTAAGCACAACATAAAGGGGTTAGGTAACAACCTGAAGAAAACCACGACATTGACGTGTCAAAGACATAGTTTATATGTATGGTTAATTGATTGATCAACAATATGTCACCGACACTTAGACAAACATAATACCGATGAAGGGAAAGACAGAGTTTATATGTATGTTTAATTGGTTGATCAACAATATGTCACCGACACTTAGACAAACATAATACTGGTGGAGGAAAATAAATCTATACCGGAAGAAAACATTGCAACGTGTAAAAGGCAAAATACGGATTAAAGAGGTCAGAATTGACTTATAAGATCTACTAGGCATACTGCCTAGCTTCGCTTAGGTTTTTAAATAACATTTGAGAATTTGAATACTTAATTATTTAGCGATGGATTGGGTGTGGAGTGCTTTAATTTAAAAAGTAATGCTAATTATAGAAAAAAAATGTTTTTTTTGTCATTTACATACCGTTCTCAGTGAAATATTGGAAAGTACGCAATCTATAACTAAATTGGAATTAGAACTACACAGGTTCCATGAACAGTATATCTCATAGTTTATATTACATTGCCTTTTAAAATTTAATTATTTATTTAATTAGGATACGTAACTGAATTAACAACTTAATTTTGTACTAAAACAAATGCTATACTTCGTCATTTTCTGTTTCTGTTTAAAATAGTATACAATTATTTGAAAAATAATAATTTTACAAACGTTACCTCCCTTGAAAACTGAACGTATGACGTAAGTCTTTGTTTACTTTTTTTTTTACAAACAGTTTCTATGCTTATATAAGAAATTACGGTATATGAACATATTTAATGACTATAATGGCTGTTTCCGACGGGAATAATTTTTTTTTGTTACCTTCCAGGGTTGGCATACGATGTCATATAATATTAAGGGGTTGGTTCGTCTATTTATATATATATATCTCATATAAGGAGAATTTCACTCACGATCATCTTTTAGCCCTCGTCGAGGGCTTTGAGTCTGACCAACAGTTTTTCCATACGGCATAGTCATCTATAGTAGTGTATGCAAAAACTTAGCATGATGTACAGACGTTAAGTAACCTAAAAATTGTGTTAAAATTTCCCTGTTTTTGCCACAAAATACAAAGATTATATAGGGAAATACGACTGGTCAGTTTTGACCCATTTCCCGATTTATCCAGGACATGGCGAGTTTTTGTGACACCCCAAGGCCTTCTTCTACCACCTCACAAAATTTCAAGGGGGATCGTCGGAGGAATTTTGTTTTCGTAATAGAGCTCATATAAAGAGAATTTCTCTCTCGGTAACTTTTTCGCCCTCGTCGAGGGCTTTGAGTGAAACCGACAGTTTTCCCTAAAGGTCAAGCCATT